TATCTCTGACCTAGTCCAAGAGTTCAGTTTCAGATTACCAGCCCTATAACAGAATGGAGCCCCAGTAACCCAGGAGAAGCTATAGTTACATCTTTTGCTGTTGTTGGATTGTTGGATGGGTAGACAAAGAAGGAGTGTGCTCAATAAAATGAAGGACAGAGGTCAGGTCAAGGCAACCCCTTTAGGATGGCCTTTCTTTCTTTGAGAAGCTCCTAAGCAAGAAGTTTTACTTACCAAACCTATCTCTAGAAGAGCCTCAACTGAAGACACCACTGGCAAATGAGGAAGTACTACAGAAAATAAGTGCTCTTGAAAATGAACTTGTTGCTCTCAGATTGCCAAAATATTGACCCTGCAAGAAGGGGCAAAATCTCACTGTAGTTGATATATTTTTAATTTTTTAAATTAAATTTATTGGGGTGACTTTGGTTAATCAGGTCATATAGGTTTCAGCCTAGCTGGGTACTCATTTGGATAGAGTGTGGTCCCCAAACACCAAGGTTGCAGGTTTGATCTGGGGTCAGAACACATACAAGAATCAACCAATAAATGCATAAATAAGTGGAACAATAAATTAACATTTCTCTCTCTATCTGTCTCTCTAAAATCAATAAATACATTTAAAAAACTAATAGATTTTCAGTTCAATGCAGTTGATTTATATTCTACCACATCTGTTACTATAGTGCCACCCTCTGTCCCACCACCTCCCCTTCCTCAGCATTCCACCGAAGTATATCAGCCATTGATCTGATCAGAGAGCCAAGAGAGGAAAAACTGGCTGGAAAGACTTTATTTATTTACTTTTTATTTATTGAAAATTTGTATTATGTCCCTTACAGGGGTGGGGAACATCCAGGCTGTATAATCATTTGGTCTGGCCCTGACAAGGCATTAGGGGTGAGTTAATTAAATGTTTGACCAAATATAGCAGGCTAATTTTTAAGTTGATAGTTTTGTATGGCCTGTGAATCATATTATGAGTATCCAAATGGCCCTTGGCAGAAAAAGGTTCCCCACCCCTGGTTTAAAAGACCATAAATGTTTTATATTTCATTTTATTTTTGTTGTTTACATTTATTTTTATTGTTAAAAGTATTACAGATGTCCCTTTTCCCCCTATTGGCCCCTCCACCCTGCACACCCCCCACCCCAAGTCTTCACATTACTATTGTCTGTGTCCATGGGTTGTGCATCCTATCTAATAAAGAGGGAATATGTTAATTGGCCTTCACACCATCACAAAGATGGCGGCATCCACAGTCAATAAGGAGGAAATATGCTAATTGACTGCCCCACCCTCAAAGATGGTGGTGCCCACAGCCACGAGATGGCAGTGCCCAGTCCCCTCAGCCCCTCCGCATGCCTGCCTCCAGAGTCCCCCAGTCCCCTCAACCCCCCAGCTGCCCAGGGCCGGCTCAAGGCATAGGCAAGCCTCAGATGGCAGCTGCCCAGCTGCCCAGGGCCACCTGAGGCTCAGGTAACCAGGGCCGGCCATGGCTTATGCTGCCGGCCGTGGCAGCAGCAGAGATGTGATGGGGGTGTCGCCTTCCCTGGATCGCCAGGTAGCCTCCTGCCCCTGAGGGCTCCTGGACTGTGAGAGGGGGCAGGCCAGGCTGAGGGATCCCCCTCCAGTGCATGAATTTTCATTCACTGGGCCTCTAGTATATTCATATTAGAACAGCCCAAAGAAACCTCATATGTTAAATATGCTAGCGATCCTTAAAGATATGAACAATGTACTGGTGAAACTTCAGTCAGTAAAAAGTCAGAACAAGCCCTGGCCAGTGTGCTCAGTGGTTAGAGCGCAAACTCAAGAACCAAAGGGTCATGGGTTCGCTCCCTGGCTGGGTAGGGGTGCATATAGAGGAAACCTATCCGTGTGTGTGTGTCTCTCTCCCCCCTCTCTCCCTTCCACTCTCTCTCTCTAAAAAATGTTCAGAACAATATATAAAGCCCAAGCCTATGGATGCTACTGACACTACTGCCCTCATAGAAGAGGCTCTGAAAAATAAATTTGCTTACAAGTATTGAAGTGATAACCAAGATAAGGCCGAAAAAGGAATTCCAAAGTTTGCATCAGAGGCCACTTCAGAAACTGTTGTTTGGGCTACACATGTTGAAGACCACAGAAAAAATAAAAGCTTTAATTGAAAATGTTTCAAATTCCTAATGGACGAGGAGCTGAGAAAGACTATCCTAGTTCAGCTGTTGGTTTGTTAGGACTGTTTGACTAGTAGAAATCACACTATTAGCAAATACCTGAATTTAGTATTCATTAGTCTCCTGTTAACTCTCCTTAGAGGATTAAGCAATAGCAAAAGCACTCTAAGTTTGTGTTTGCTTTTATGAGAAGTTCAGTTCTGAAGTTTTCCAGAACTCACATGTATTCTGACACACCATGTTTATTTTTAAAAAACATATTTTTATTGATTTCAGAGAGGAAGGGAGAGATAGAAGCATCAATGATGAAAGATTCATCGATTGGCCGCCTCCTGTACACCCCCTACCAGGGATCGCTCTTACAACCTGGGGCAAGTGTCCCAATAGGGAATCAAACTGCATGTGACCTCTTAGTTCATATGTTGATGGTCCACCACTGAGCCACCACAGCCAGGCTGACACACCATGTTTTTAATGTGTAGTCAGGATGTTTAGGTTTCCCATCTTGAAAACAATTATATACATTTCAGAATGAAGAAAGGACATTTGTAGATGTAATTTTTGTTAACACTAATTTATCTGTATAAATATTCTCTGTGATATATAAAGCAGTTTATGTAAATTACATAATGAGGTACTGTCATCATTTGTTTTCACTGATCATTTACTAGTCAGTGATGGAAGAGCTGGCATAACAGTTCTTTGGAGTGAATTGAGATTGGAGTCTTCGCACCTTGAATAGAACTTTTAGATTTTCTCTCACATTTTCATTGAGATGGGGTTTGAGTAGGAACTGAAAAATGCTCACTGCTGAGATTCCATAATGCTTTCCTTTAAAAAGGACAGTCAAGGATCATGAAAGCTGCTTTCACCTCAGATTTATCTAGTGCCCAGGAAGAAAATGTAGTTTGCAAATAGGGAGGACTCAAATTATAGATTTAAATCTCTTTTTAAGTGAAAACCAGAATGTGCGATGTAGGTTTCCTTTCAGTTTAATAAATGGCATTATAAAGATGACATGTTGATAAGTTAATACTTCTAGAAATTGTTAGCATAATGAAGTTTAAATTTTTTAAATACTGGACAAATTACTAGTTTTATAATGGAACACTGAATAGGCAAAATAATTTCCTGTAAGTTGTTCATCATTGGTCAGAATGCTGTTCTGTTGAATTACATTATGCAGCATAAACCTTAGGTGTTATTAGAAAGTGGAGAACTGCTCTTCTCATCTAGGGATTCTAATGAATTGCTGAAAGTGATCATTTTTAAATACTTAAGAAATTTTTATGATTTTTAAAAATTTCTGGTAAACGTAGCTACAGTTAGTTCCAAATCTCCTACTATGAGTAAATAGTTGGATTTATTATTTAAATCAGTTTTAAAAAGTTGTATTACCTGAGGCAGGGTGGGAGATGAGAAGAGTCGGTAATCAATTTTAAGGTATAGAAAATATATACAATGTTCTAGATGTTAGCAAGTAGTAGTTGGGGTAATTTTACATGGTTTGGTTATTCAGCTTAATTCTGAACTGTGGTTTATTTTACGCATACTGTTGATGTATATCATTTCTAATTGTTTTTTTATGGTTTAAACATTCTGCCTGGTTATTCCTGGATTATTAACACTTCAATGTAGATACATAATCATAACTTAAAATATGTTGATCTACAAACCACTGGTAACTGGAAAATAGTTGTACTTACTCATATCCAGTTCCCATTTCCTTCCTGTATAAACATGAAGACCATTCTCCCTTACCACTTTCTCATTAATGGGTGAAACATGACTGGTTGTATTAAATGAAATGTGAGTGTATGTTTCTTCTGGGCTAAGGAATTTGAAAGCCACTATGTTGCTCCACACTTTCTCCTCTCGGTCTTAGTGGTCTTGGAGGTCACATTTTGGGATATTGGTGTCACAAGATGTAGAAAACTCAAATCTCTAAGTCACAATATAAAGGAAAGTCCATTTATATCTTCAACCCATGCCAACATCCCCCCCCCCCACACACACAACCTGAATCAGACTTTACATGAGTGATAAACATTTGCTATGCTAAGCCAATAAAATTTGAGGTTTCTTTATTGGCACAGCCTTGTTTCAGCCTATATTGATGACTGTGAATATTGTTACAATTTCATCTTCCAGTGGCTGATGAACCAGATTCTGCAAATTCCTTGGGCATACTACCATTTTTTTGTCCAGAACATTATTATGATGCTGGATAATAAATTAAAAACCTCCAGAGGAAACAATAATATGTGACCAATCATGAGCTTTGCTAAGTAATGTTTGTGTCTCATTCTCTATTTCTCCACAGTCACATTAAGATAATGAATCTCTTTCAGGAAGAGGATTATGATATTCATGTATCACGTTTATGTGCTTTGGATTCAAACAAATGTGGCTTTGCCACATAGTAGCTGTGTGGTTTAAGACAAGTCACTTCACCTTCTTTTTCCAGTTGTCTCGTTGGCTTTAGATACTACAATACAAAACCCATTTAAAAGAATATATTGTCACTGGGGCAGTGGGGGCTTGCCCGGGGTGGGAATGGCTGGTGGTGGGGGCGGGTTAATTGGGGGAAAAGGAGACATATGTAAAACTTTAGACAATAAAAAAAAAACCTGTAAAAATAATAATATATTGCAGAAATTCTAAAATTGTACATTTACTTGAAAAGTTGCTTTCATCAAAAAGTTTTTCAACATTTTATCTTAAATATTTTTATGATGGGATAAATGCAAATAAAAATTTAAAGGTAAAGTACAACCCAACTCACTTTTTCGTTTTTATTTTTTTTAAATTTAAAAATGTTTATTGTAGTATGCATATCCTTAACATTTTCTACAGGATTAATATAACATTGTCAGAAAAGCATGTATCGCTACATAAAAGATAAATACAGAATTTTCCATGGATATCAAACATTTTTGTGTTTCCATGTGTTAATATTGTAGAACATTTTCTTAATTTTATTGTACTTCAAAAATTGTTTTTAAAAACTTGTTAAAATTAATAGTAGGTGTTGGCAGAGTTCACAGAAATGTTTGAGGGGAATATTACTTTCTATACAAGTGAGACCCTGACATTTTACAGCAGAGGTCACAGGTAATGTCCATGTGATAAATATTCACTATTTTATTATATAGATTTTGTATATGAAATTACTGTAATATTTCACTGGTAACAAATCCAACATGTCAAGTAATGCCAAATGTATATGTATGTTCTGGAAGATGGTACTGTAAAAGAGTAAATTTGTGAACATTTTAATATATTGCGATCATCATAACAAATTATGCCAATGAGTTTTTCATGATTTTTTCCTTGTCAATACAGTAAAACCTTCCCATTAATACAAGTAAGGTATTATTTATTTATTTGGGTGTATTGTTTGAATAACAGAATGATGTCTTACTGAAAATCAGACTATATTTTAAGCTTTAGAAATTCTCTTTTATATTAGTTGTGGTCCAGATAATAGAGTACCTTTATTTGAAATAGAAAACATTTTTAATTTCTCAGACTCTTAACTTAAAAATTAACAATGCTTTTAAAGGCTTTCATACTTTGGCCACTATCAATTTCCTTTAAACATCTTAAAGTAATGAGGCTAAACCTAGATGAGAGATTTCCAGCTGTAACACCACACAATCTTAACACCTACTTGTAATTCTTGTTTAAAAGTTGATTTGGTTTCCCAAGTGAGAGCAATCATAACTACATATTAAAACGATGCAAGAATTTTCATGTTTGATTACTAATTGAAAGAAAGAATATGTTTCTTCTTCCTCTCTTGTTTCTACTTCATTTCTTAAAATTCTCCAGTTTTCCTCCATTTGATGAGATCGCTTTATGGTAGCTTCACCACCACAACACATGCACCAGCTCTTCCAATGTTAACAGGAACTTCCTAACACAGGAAACAAAAACAGGAAAAGAACTGATGTTTAAGTGAATTCTGTATTTAGCATAATATAGCATACTAGAGTTGATAAAGTCCTTAGCTATTCTGGTCTAACCTTCATCTTGCATAAAGATAAGGGAAAATGTAGCCCAGATAACAGTCCAGTATGGTAGAAAAAAAAAACACCAGTGTTTAAAAAGATGTACATATGAGATTGAGGAGCAAGGGATCTTGAGTAAATTTCACCTCTCTGGTAATTTTCTCACTTGAAAAATTACAGCTAATAATACTTATCCTTAAGGTTTTTGTTAGAGTTAAGTGAGATAATAAATGAAAATAATTTGTCATATAGAAGTTATAACTCCATTATTTGTTCTCTTTCACTCTTTCTAACATCACACAATGAAAGAATGAAAATCCAGGAGGCATCTTAGGTACTGGCATACAATTTTCAGAAAAGTAAATTCCATCAGTTTAGACCCGTGGTCGGCAAACTGCGGCTTGCGAGCCACATGTGGCTCTTTGGCCCCTTGAGTGTGGCTCTTCCTAAGCCTTAGGAGTACCTTAATTAAGTTAATAACAATGTACCCACCTATATAGTTTAAGTTTAAAAAATTTGGCTCTCAAAAGAAATTTCAATCGTTATACTATCGATATTTGGCTCTGTTGACTAATGAGTTTGCTGACCACTGGTTTAGACAATCATTTTGATTATTGTATTTGACCTAACTTGTTTGCTAATATGTTTTTTTTTACATTTCTAGTTGGTCTTAAGGATTGATACAACCAACATGGAATAATTTGAATGATTTCAAGGGTCTTAATGAATCAAGTTGTTGAAGGAACGAGATAGAGACCCATTATCAGGTATCATTACATTAACATATATTTAGAACAGTAACCAACACACTATGTAGAATACAGAGCAGCAGGAAGTCAGTATAAGGAAAGGTTAAGTTAGATACCAAATACAAGGTTGGCGTGTTTGTGGAAATGGTGAAGAGTTAATCATATTCCATTTTAATTAACCAATTATTTAATTAACAAACCACCATTAGATATTTTGGAATGAATCTAGAGCTATCACTGGAAGAACTGTCACAAGCATCAAGTTTGCCTTGAGCATTCTCGAGATGTCCTTTCAGTGCCCCCAGCTTATATACTGTCCTTATAATTTCTTTTGTTAGATGTCCAGAACTTTTGAGAGGATTTAATTCCAGTCTCTTACTATGCACTAAATTTCTTGAATGACTGATTAAAAGTTATGACTATTGCAGTTTATAAATATCTATAAGGAGGGGATTAAAATATTTTCCTTCTTGGGCACCAGTGATAAGAAGGGGAAGATATTTATGGATGAGGATGTTGCTCTTTGGTTCTCAAGTCATAATATATACATAGGAAATTGGCCAAATAGTAAAGCTCTTGAATTCTGTATTTAGCATAATATAGCATATTAGAGTTGATAAAATCCTTAGCTATTCTGGGCTAACCTTCACCTTGCATAAAGACAAGGAAAAATGTAGCCCAGATAACAGTCCAGTGTGGTTGAATCTGATTCACTATAATGTGAAAGAAATGATTACATAATGTCAAGTGACTGACTTTCATATAAATACTGATGGATCCTGCGAATGATCAATTAGATCATCTAGTAGTTTTCTATAGCATAGATAAAGCATGTTTTACAAATTTCATGAAATGAATCTGGTTAGACCCTAAAGATGAAGAGAATGAAACTAATTTCAAACATATTTTAAAATATATTTTATTAAAACCTGAAATATCCTAATTTGAATACTTTTAATAAGAGTACCTGTTTCCATTCATCTTTCTGTGCATCATATGACTCAACGGTATTCAAATAAGAATGTCCATCATATCCTCCAACCACAAAGAGTTTGTCTCCTAGAGTACACACAGCAACAGCATCTCGAGGAACACTCAGGGGCGCCATAGTTGACCATGAATCATGTTTTGGATCATACCTTCAGAGGTTTAGGAATACAATAGAGAAGGAAAGTCTGATATAGTATTAAAATTAAAAATAATAGGCTTTAATAAAAAGTATACTTATCTAATATAAGGAATTAAAGTACCTTATAAATATCAAGTGTGGTCTAACTAGCAAATGTGAAAGATAAGTACATGACAAAACTCTCTTCAGCCACCAGAGGACACTCAAAGCATATAAAAATGTATCTGCTTTCCAAAAAGATCATGCATTTCTTTCATTGGTACTTAGATTTTCTATGAGGAAATTTCACTTATTAGTGTCTTAACGTGTGAAAAATGTTCCCTCTCTCATTTATTATGCTGGTCTCATTTTTCTCTTATTCTCTGTATATCAAAGTTATAAATGAAATGCCTGATCTTGCTTATATGAGAATTCACATTTTAAGTAAATCTTAATATAATTTTTTTTAATTTAATTATATTTTTATTGATTTCAGAGAGGAAAGGAGAGGGAGAGATAGAAACATCAGTAATGATAATCATTGATCGGCAGCCTCCTGCATGCCCCCTACTGGGGATCAAACTAGCATCCCCAGGCATGAGCCCTGACCTGGAATTGAACTCATGACCTCCTGGTTCATAGGTTGATGCTCAACCACTGAGACACACTGGACGAACTGAATATAATTGTTTTTTAGTTTCATAGAATGTCGTACCATGGTTTTAATGCTACTTTTGGCTACAGTGGCCATAGCTTTATTCTATATTTTTCCCCTTTGAGAGTTCCTGTTTATCTTTGCAAGAGCCTAGGATTATTTCCATTTTAATTTGAAGTTTACTTTTTATCCCCAAACCTTCCTCTAAGCAAAATGAAAGATAATTCAGTAAGTAATATCAATTAAAATCTTCATCCAGGAATTCTCTCCTAAAATTTGAAGTCTATATTTTAAAAATACATAATACAAAAATCTGAAAGAAGTGAATAGTGAAATAAAACTCCTATAATTATACATGGAAATGCTCTTTGATTTTATATTGGCTTATTTGTAAAATTTAATGATAAAGATGTATTTTACAAAGAGACATTAATTTATTAGCCTCTCCTAATTTCCTTATATTTCTATTACCCCTCTTATTTATGTTTTTAATCTCTTTAATCATATTTAAATCATCTTATTCCAGCTTTTATTTGATCTGACCTTATGTCCAATAATATTTTTAATAATGTCTGATATTTTCAATAATTAAGATCACCTCAATATCCAGTGCATATTTTTTAGTATCATGTAGCATATTACCATAAATTCTGATATTATAAATCCAGAACCAGATAATCCATAGCTGTGTGCTTTAGCTAAGCTGCATCTTCAACACAATTGCTATTGTTATACTCTGAGACTGCTGTCAGCATAAGAGTACACACATATATGAATGGTGAACCAGGGATCATAAAAAGATTTCTTTAGAGATTTGCAACCAAAACCCAAGTGTCATGCATATGCATAATAACTAATATTAAAAATATGGCTAATGTTAATATTATCTGGATACTGCTTGATTAAATACAGGAATCTGGGGAATGTTGAATCTTTTGAAGAAAAAAATATTTGTAATATGGTTACTATCTGTAAAGACACACAGGAGACATTATTAAACACTAGAGGCCCAGTGCATGAAATTCGTGCACTCGGGGATCCCTCAGCCCGGCCTGCACCCTCTTGCAGTTTGGGAGCCCTCGAGGAATGTCTGACTGATGGCTTAGGCCCACTCCCCACATCCTTAGTGCTGCCACGGAGGTGGGAGAGGCTCCTGCCACCAATGCTGTGCTCACCAGCAGTGAGCCGGGCTTCTGGCTGAGTGGTGTTCCCTCTGTAGGAGCGCACAGACCACCAGGGGGCAGATGCTCAATGCAGGAGCTGCCCCCTGGTGGTCAGTGAGCATCACAGCGACCGGTCATTCCGCCATTTGGTAGATTTGCATATTAGCCTTATATTATATAGGATAAAGTTAGTCATAACATCTCTTTCAAATTAAAATAGCATAATGTCTTTCCCTTTGTTTGTCTTGCTTTCCATCTCTCCTTATCTTAAATATATAAATATATCTATATCTATATATAGATATATATATATATCTATATTAGTGGAACTAAAATGGATTCTGAAGTGAAGGGAAATAGTTATAAACTTATTTCTCCACTAAGAGAAATGGTGTTGGGAAAGTTGGACAGATACATGCAAAAAATGAAACTAGATCACGAACTTATACCATACACAAGAATAAACTAAAAATGAATAAAAGAGTTAAATGTAAGATGTGAAACCATAAAAATTTTAGAAGAAACTACAGGCAGCAAAATCTCAGACATCTCTCATAGCAATATGTTTGGGAGTACATCTTGGGCAGTGGTCGGCAAACTGAGGCTCACGAGCCACATGCGGCTCTTTGGCCCCTTGAATGTGGCCACGAAGTTTCAATCGCACTGTACGTGCGCACCCGCACGTGGTATTTTGTGGGAGAGCCACACTCAAGGGGCAGCAGTTTGCAGACCACTGATCTAGGGCAAAGAAAACTAAGGAGAAAATAAACAAATGGGACAACATCAAAGTAAAAAGCTTCTGCACAGCAAAAGAAACCATCAACAAAACAACAAAAAAGCCCACTGCATGGGAGAACATATTTTCCAATGATATATCTGATAAGGGGTTAATTTCCAAAATATTTAAGAAACTCATACAACTTAACAAAAGGAAGACAAATAATCCAATTAAAAAATGGGCAAAGAATGTAAAAAGACACTTCTCCAAAGTGGACATACAGATGGCCAAAAGGAATATGAAAAAAATGTTCAAAGCCACTAATCATCAGAGAGATGCAAATTAAAACAACACCTCACACCTGTCAGAATGGCTATCATCGATACATCAACAAGAGACATAGAAGCATAGAACAGACTGGAATCTCAGCTGGAAGGTGGTGGAGAGTAAGTGGGTGGGAAGAGATCATCCAAGGAACTTGTATGCATATATATATAACCCGTGAACACAGACAATAGTGCGCTGAAGGCCTGGGGCAGGGGGGGCTAGAAAGGGCCAATGGAGGAAAAATAATAATAAAATATATAATTAAATTTAAAAAAAGATAATTAGCAAATTTATCATCAGAGGGCAGAAGGCAATGGGATAATATATATATTTAAATTCCTGAAAGAAAAATTCTGTCAACTGAGAATTCTATAACCAGTAATCTGTCCTTCAAAAAAGGAGGGAAAAATTAAAGCATTCCCAGGTGAACAATAGTCAAAAGAGTTCATTACTAGTAGATCTGTCATGCAAGATATTCTAAAAGAAGTCCTTTAAGTTGTAATATACAAATATTAGACATTAACTCAAAGTTATACAAATACAATACATTTCTCTGCTAAAGATAAATACATAGACAAATATAAAATGAACTAGTTAATTTGGGTTTGCATTTACGTTTTTTATTCTTCCAAGGTCTTAAAAAACAAAAACATGAAAATAATTATAAAAGCATGCAAATGGTTACACAATATATAAAAACTTAATTTGTGGTGTCAATAACATAAAGAAGGGGAGAAGGCAGAGCTGTAAGAATAGAATGATTTCATGCAATTAAATTAAGTTGATACTAATTTAAAATATATTGGTAAACTTTTAGGATGTTATATGTAATCCTCATGGTAACCACAAAAGAAATAATTATGGAATACATGAAAAATAAATTGAGAAATGAACCAAAGCTTATCACAAATAAAAAAAAACTAAACCCAATGAAGTCAAGAAGAGAGGACTAAAATACAAAATAGGTATGACATGTGAATAGAAATAAAAAAATGGCAATATAAGTCCTTCTAAATAATTTCTTTAAATGTAAATGGATTAACCTCCCCTATCAAAAGGCATACCTTGGCAGAAGAGACTCTTTCTTTTTACAAGAGACTCACTTTTTATATAAGGAAATGTATAGGTAAAAAAGTAAATGGATGAAAAAGATGTCCACACAAATTGTAATCAAATGTAAGCAGGAGTGATTCTATTGACATTATACAAAACTAGAGGCCTGGTGCACAAATTCATGCATGGGGACAGAGAAGGGACCATGGGCGGTTGCCTGGTAGGCCCCAATTTAGTTGTGTAGATGTGCTGAGGTAGTGGCAAGCAAAGACCACAGACAGAGTGCCCCAAAATGGCCTGAACACCAGCTACGTTCTGAGGTGGAAATACAGCTCCACTTCGCTACCACCCCTTGGGCCACCTCACTCTCCCCAGGGTGGAGCTGCTGACAGACAGGTATTCTCTCCTACTTCAGCAGCACATTTTCTTGGGGCTCCACCCCCAAGCATGATAAGTAGCTGACTTTGGCCAATGGTGGCACACCGCCGTAGGAGCACTAGCCAATCAGCAGTTGGGAGCCTGGAAAGGCATGGGGCCAAGCTAGAAGTGGCTGATGGGGGCAGAAGGGCAAGCGACACGGTGCAGTAGCAGAGGTAAGATGGCAGTGGTGCTTACTTTATGTCTTTGCAGTTAGGCTGCTGCCTTGCCCCTTCTGCCTCCTCCAAGCTGCTACTCTGTCTAATCAGTGTCAGGGTCTCTCTCCTCCTACAGGCTTCCCAGACCCAGATTCTCCAGTACCTGGAGCCTTAGCTGGGCGGAGGGACTGACCAGGGGGGAGGGACTGTGGGAGGTTGGCTGGCTGCCAGGGGGAGGGGCCGCAAGAGGTTAGCCTGCCGCAGGGAGGGACCACAGGAGGTTGGCTGTGGGAGCTCACTGACCACCAGGAGGCAGCTCCTGTGTTGAGCATCTGCCCCCTGGTGGTCATTGCACATCATAGTGACTGGTTGACCAGTCGTTCTGGTCTTTTGGTCACTAAGGCTTTTATATATATAGATAAGCTTTAAAATAAAAACTGTTGTAACAGAAAAGAAACACATCATATAATGATAAAAAGGTCAATTGATAAAGAATATATAACAATTATAGACATAAGAACACCAAACACCACAGCTCCTAAATATATGAAACAAACATTGACAGAATTCGAGGGAGAAAGTGCTTATAGTAGCAATGAAAGTACTAAATTCCCCACCTTTAATAATGGATAGAATAAACAGATCAATAAGTACATGGGAGACTTGAACAACATTGTAGACCAATTGAACCTAAAAATCTATACTAATAAAAGGCCTGTGACCATGATGCCATAATGTGGAATGACCAAAGACTGGTCACCAGGAAGCTGTGTGCGTGGCAAAGCGCGTGTGGGTGGGTGGGGCTGCATGCTCGGCAAGACACGTGCAGGTGGACGGGGACTTGATTCTGGGTCCTGTGTCCCGCCTGATGTGGCAGGAGTCAGTATGGGTCCCATGTCCCGCCTGGCATGGCGGGAGTCAGTCTGGGTCTCGCCAGCGTGGAGGGTCTGGGTCTTGATATTGCGCACTGGGCCTCTAGTATAGATATAAAATATTCTACTCCCAAAAAAACAGAACACACATTTTTCTCAAGTAAACAAGGAAAATTATCCAGGAGAGACCACATGTTGGGTCAGAAAACAAGTATGAATAAATTTAAGAGGTTGAAAACATGTAATGTGAAATTAAACTATAAATCAACAGCAGAGGAAGACTGGAATATCTACAAATATATGTAAAGGATATAACACATATTTAAACAACCAATAGTTTTGGTTGTATTTTTACCTATACTTGCAATCCCATCCATTCTTTTGTATGCTTACAAACTATAAATTCTAATTACTCCATGAATTTCTTTTGAGGACACCATCCCATACTGATCTCTGTCTTGTGAATTATGATAACTTTACTGACTGTAAATTTTTCATTTGGTCTTATGTTAATACTAGAGACCCAATGCATGAAATTCATGCAAGAGTAGGCCTTCCTTCCCCTAGCTGCCAGCACTGGCTTCCCTCTGGCACCCAGAACCCGGGCTTCCCTCGCAACCCCAGCTTCATCTGGAAGGTCATCCGGAAGGATGTCCGGTCTCATTAGCATATTACAATTTTATTATTATAGATTATTTTATTATTATGTTTGCATATACATATTCTGTCTTTAAGGGGAATGTAAATGATATAACTATAGTCATGTGACTGATTTTAACAAACTTATCACATTTTACTCATTTAAATAAATGTCTCCCATTCAAAGAAGTTACCTTTGGGAAACTAAATACTTAAGTACTCATTGTTCAGAACATTATTAACAACTCCCTTGGGAAATTCTGTATGTTATATGGTGGTAAGCAGCGGTTCTCAACCTGTGGGTCGCGGCCCCTCTGGCAGTCGAACGACCCTTTCACAGGGGTCGCCTAAGACCATGCTGCATATCAGATATTTACATTATGATTCATAACAGTAGCAACATTACAGTTATGAAGTAGCAACGAAAATAATTTTATGGTTGGGTCACAACATGAGGAACTGTATTTAAAGGGCCAGAAAGTTGAGAACCACTGGTGGTAAGTATTTCTCTTTTGACGATTGATTTTTTAAACAGTAAAGTTATTTTTATTTGAGCTGGTAAATAGTTTGAGTGATATAGCTTGGTGTAAAATTAATTTATTCTTACATCTCTTTTGTCTCACTATTTTATAGGGTGACTATCAAACAATAAAACAGCATATTCTCTTTATATATTTCTTTTGATGGGTCTAAAACACATAACGAGGAGGATTTCTTCAAAATATTTTAAGCCTAAAAGTAAGTACTATCATGCAATTTTAAAATGGACTGATCCTCTGAAATGATTAACACTTATTTAGAAAACTATATTATGGCAGCTTATTTTTTTCTAAAAAAAAATAACCAAATAAATACACATATAAATAAATATAAATATTTTACCGTTCCACACAGTCAGAAAGCCTGGAGCAATGGTTAGAAGCAGGGGCATCATGACCCCCAACAGCATATAAGAATCCATTGTATGTTGTAACTCCCACACCTCCACGTCTTTTGGACATTGGAGCACATGGACTCCACTTGTTAGTGTGTGGATCAAAGTATTCCACTGATTTCAGGCAGGAACTTCCATCACGTCCACCAATAGCATACAGCCTAGAAAGAAAAAAACACAGAAATGTGTGTTTTTCCAATTCATGCATAGAATGAAAGTGAAAGAACCTTGCACAAAGCATTTTAAGTTTCTGACTATACAGGGTAGGCAAAAGTAGGTTTACAGTTGCTCATATGGAAAATAACAATACAATAATAAATAACAATACAAGAATAAACTCTGTTTTGTAAACTCTGTTTTGCATACTCAAAACTGTAAACCTACTTTTCCTCCATCTTGTGTATTCTGCTATCCTAAGATTTTCTAGCAGACAGTCTGAGGTTTTGAATGGAAGGCAAAATAAGGTCTACCCTACTCCAAACTTGTGGAAGTTACTTTGAAATAATAGATCTGCCCTACTCCAAACTTGTGAAGGTTACTTAGACATAATAGATTAAAAGATCCCATGGGAAATTATATACAGAGAAAGAAGGCTGATAGTGAAAACATTCTTAATATTTGTTAATTATACCTCATTAAAAAACAACCTTACAATTTTACCTAAGTTCAATTGCCTAGCATTAGAATCCCTGTTGTTTTTATGAACTACTTTATTTAGTAAAAAAATATAATTGTCACTAGGAATATGTTAGCTTGATAAATGACTAAGGGAATAGAATAGAACCAAGAAAGAAAAGATTTTTCCCCATAAAGATATAGTAGCTATAACATTTCTCCCATAAACTTTATTAAGCCCTATGTCTACAACTGCCATTCATGTTCAGTTGTGATAAGTGGTAATAGGTAGGAGATTGTACTGAGTCACCTGATAATCATTCAGTTGAGGCCAGGAGAAACAGATTTCAGAGTATTTTAAGCTCTAAGGCTAGGTCTCCCCTTAACTATAGACATTCCCTACGTTTTCTTGTATAAGACGCATATCCATCTACTGAGCCCATTTATGTGCGTATTGGCCTGATGCATAGTCAGTACAGACACACAAGGCTGTCTTCTGCCATTGTTCCATCCTCATGTCTGAGTTTCTCTTCATTCAAGTCCCTCCTATATGTTGGTTGGTCCTTGTCTCCAAAGGTCCCTTGTCAGAAAGCACATACAATTAATTGAAATAAATAATAAATTCAAGTTCTAGCAACCTCTAACATCATTGGGTTTTAATATATTAGCTTGTTCTTATAGGCAAGTGATCAGGAAGTAGGAAAGATTTAGAAAGATGGGACCAAATGTAATTCTAGAGTTGGGAACCCTAAATACTCAAGACAGTATATGGTAAAGAAAAAAAAAAACTTGCCCTATTACAAAGACAGCCAAAGTCTTGATATGTCAAAAATAAGTTATTATGTAATAAATGGAGGCTTCTTGAATGTAAAGCTGGGATTGGTTTGAATGCAGAAGTGCTTCTCAAATTTAATGAGCACACAGAGTCACTCGATGATCTTGTTAAAATGCCCATTATGATTCAAAAGGTCCAGAGTGGGATTAGGATTCAGCATTTCTAAATAGTAGATTTTAGGTGATGCTGACACTCCTAGTCCCAGGACCACATTTGAATAGCAAGGGACTATAGAATATTTAATTAAATGTTCATTTTAGACAAGTATTTCCATCATAATAAAGGGAGAATTCCAACAAAGGCCTGTTATTATTCTTTTTCTCTTTATTGTTGAAAGTATTACAGATGTCCACTTAGTTTTTTTTTCCCATTGATCCACCCCACACCTGCCCCTCCCAGGCCTTCGTCACTCTATTGTCTGTGTCCATATATGCATATAAGTTCCCTGGTTAATCACTCCCAACCCATCCCCTACCCCCACCTTCCCTCTGAAATCCGTCAGTCTGTTCAATGCTTCTATATCTCTGGATCTATTTTGTTCATCAGTTCATTACATTCCACATATGAGTGAGATCATGTGATACTTGTCTTTCTATGATGGGCTTCTTTCACTTAGCATAATACTCTCCAGGTCCATCAAACCTGTTGCCAATGGTAAAAGTTCTTTTTTTATAGCTGCATAGTATTCCACTGTGTAAATCAGTGATGGCGAACCTATGACACGCGTGTCAGAGGTGACACGCGAACTCATTTTTTTGGTTGATTTTTCTTTGTTAAATGGCATCTAAATATATAAAATAAACATCAAAAATATAAATCTTTGTTTTACTATGGTTGCAAATATCAAAAAATTTCTATATGTGACACGGCATCAGAGTTAAGTTAGGGTTTTTCAAAATGTTGACACGCCGAGCTGAAAAGGTTCACCATCACTGGTGTAAATGTACCATAGATTTTTATCCACTTATGTGCTGATGGGCACTTGGGCTGTTTCCAAATATTAGCTATTGTAAATTGTGCTGCTATGAACTTGGGATGCATATATTCTTTCTGATTGATGTTTCTGATTTTTTAGGATATATTCCTAGAAGTGGGATCACTCGGTCAAATGGGAGTTCCTTTTGAGGAAACTCCATACTGTTTTGAACAGTGGCTGCACCAGTCTGCCTTCCCACTAGCAGTGTACCATGGCTCTCTTTTCTCCACATCTTTGCCAGCACTTGTCTTTTGTTGATTTATTGATGGTAGCCATTCTGACAGGTGTGAGGTAATACCTCATTTTCATTTTAATTTCCATCTCTTAGATGATTAGGAACTTTGAGCATTTTCTCATACGTCTCTTAGAAAAGCCTGTTATAATTGACTAGAGGGCCAGTGCATGAAATTTGTGCATGGCGGGTGGGGTTGTCCCTCAACCCAGCTTGCACCCTATCCAATCTGAGACCCCTTGGGGGATGTTGGACATCCCTCTCACAATCTGGGGCTGCTGGCTCCTAACCGCTCACCTGCCTGCCTGCCTGATTGCCCTTAGCCGCTTCTGCCTGCCAGCCTGATTGCCCCCTGACCGCTCCTCTGCCGGCCTGATTGACACCTAACTGCTCCCTGCTGGCCCAATAGCCCCCTACTGCCCTCCCCTGGCAGCCTGATCACCTCCAACTGCCCTGCCCTGCTGGCCCGATGGCCCCCAACTGCCCTCCCCTGCTGGTCCAATCACCCCCAACTGACCTCCCCTGCCAGCCAGATTGCCCCCAACTGCCCTCCTCTGCTGGCCCGATTGCCCTCAACTGCCCTCCCCTGCTGGCCTGTTTGCCCCCAACTGCCCTCTCCTGCCACCCTGATGACCCACAACTGCCCTCTCCTGCTAGCCATCTTGTGGTGGCCATCTTGTGATGATGTCGCTCAAGGGCATCACGCAAGGGTGTGATACCACCTAGGCTTTTATTATATAGGATAACTAGGATATTCTGGTCATTCAGAATGCTTTTTTTTTTAAATCCTCACCTGAGGATATTTTTTCCATTGATTTTTAGAGAATGGAAGGGAGAGGGAGAGACAGAGAGAAACACTGATATAAGAGAGACACATCAATTGGTTGCCTTCCGTATGCCCCCAACAAAGGCCAGAAGCCTGCAACAGAGATACATACCCTCGACCAGAATCAAGCCCAGGACCCTTCAGTCTACAGGCCAACGCTCTATCCACTGAGCCAAACTGGCTAGGGCCTGGGAATGCTTTTTGATTGATGGATCACATCAATGAAGTGCTGTAGCACATGACCTAGGAGCAAAGACCATGCACGTTTTAGGTTACTCACTTGTTGTTTAATGCAGCGACAGCAACTGTGCTTCTAGGAATTGACATACTAGCCACGTAATTCCACTGACGTCCCTCAGGGTCCCATCTTTCTACAGTATTTAGATAACTCCATCCATCATGACCACCAACAGCATACATTGGTCCTTCAAGTGTGGCTACACCTAAAGAATAAAAACAGCATGAGGGCTCACCTAGGTATGATACATATAATGGCTATTATATGCAAGCAATAAACTGATTAAAAATTTGTTTTAGTTTCTTAAATGATTTTCTGTACACATGAATAATTTACTGATCTTGATATGAAACTAAATATGATATTTTAATCCAAGAAAATTTTCAGGCATAATTACCATTATCATGGAAATGTATCATTGTTGTCATACTGAAGCCAAAGGAGGTAGTGGAACACATCATTTCTGAGGATGTGATAGATAAGGGAAATTGATTTTTCTGGCATAATTTCAATGCCATTTTTAAAGTAAGAAGTAGATGAGATATGACACTGAATCTTAAATAAATCTTAGAAATGTAGGCTAACTGTTGTCCTTCTAATGCCTATTAAGATTATAGGGATAAAAAAGGTTCTCATCAGATAACTAAATAGACAGGGTTTTTGAGGAGTATTTAGAAATGTGTTATATTAGATACTATAAATACCCCCTTTCTAACTGCTTCTCAACTGCTCTGGGAATACATGAGTCCCTCCTGCCCCCACCTTCTTTACCATCTCAATGAGCTCTCAGATATATCCTCATCACCTATCCTATCTCTTTAGTAACATCAATATATTTTAAAACTTGCTCTGATTTCTCTGTAAGATATATTTTCTAAGCAATGTCTTTGAATCACTGACACAACTGAGCTGAATATAATTAATATAATCATACATTTGAAATAGACTATTTATCAGATAATTTGAGGGCAAATGACACCAGACCTGGGTCTGCCACTTTTTAGCTGTGTAAAACTAGTTCTGGAAGGTAGGGGAGGGTGGGGGTAAGGGGGAGAGATCAACCAAAGGACTTGTATGCATGCATATAAGCATAACCAATGGACATGGACACCAGGGGGTGAGGGCATGAGTGTGAGGGGGGGTCACTGGGGGGATAGAAGCACATATGTAATACCTTAATCAATAAAAAAAAGTAACAAGGAAATTATTATGTTTATTTTTTTTCCAAAAGACTATGATATTGAAAATGTATGAAGACTAGTAAGAACAAAGATGTACCCTAACAGATATTTAGGAGAATCAAAGTTCTCCACTGTTCTAGATGTCTCCACTGCATCTTTCCTAAACTTTTTTATAAACTCTGGATTACATATAACTTAGAGCTGCTCTCAACTGAAGTGGTTTTTCCCTGCCTTGGATCTGCATCATAGGCTTTTTGCTGAAATATAGATTTGCCTATTATAGAAAGAAACATGATTCATCTAACTAGAAACACGTCTCTCCATTATCAAGTGCTCTTTCCTCTAAATTGAGTTTGGAACAAAACTATTGTAGTTTTGTGTTCCTCAATAATGTAATCCTTCTCAAAGTTTTTATCCATTGTAACAAGTATGACATCTGAAACAAGAAAAAAAGTTTTAAAGGCTTTGACTATTTGCTTAAGCTTTTCAGGATTTTGGAGACATTTTGACTACGGGATTTGTTACATCCCAATAATGTGCAGCTGAATTTAATTTTTAAATAGTTCTGTGAACTATACATTCTTTATAAATAATATAACATTAAATTCTTACCTAAGCCGTGCCTATGTGTTGACATGGGAGGCATCACACTCCAGATTTTGCCAACTGGATTAAAACATTCCACAGTATTCAAAGTCTTTAAACCATCTCTTCCTCCCACGATATAGAGCTTATTATCAATAACTGAAACTCCAAACTGAAGCCTACGGCCATTCATGGTGCCAATATGTAACCAGGTATTGGTCCTGAGGTCATATTTTTCTATTGTAGTGGTACCTGTTAGAGGGATATTGAACAATGGTAAAAACCAATTATATAAACACATATCCTCTTCAAATTACTCCAAAAAATTCAAGAAGAGGGAAGCCTTCCAAGCTCTTTTTATAAGGCCAAAATTATCCTAATACCAAAACAAGATAAAGACACTACAAAGAAAGAGAATTATACGCCAATATCCCTGCTGGATATAGATGCTAAAACCCTCAACAAAATATTAGCAAATCAAATCCAGCAATAAATTAAAAAGAATCAAATACCATGATCAAGTAGAATTTATTCTGGGGATCAAATTTGGTACAATATTTGCAAATTAATAAATGTGATATATTATATAAATAAAATGAAAGATAAAAATCACATGACCATATCAATAGATGCAGAAAAATCATTCAATAAAATCCAGCACCAATTTATGATAAAAACTCTCAGCAAAGTGGGAATAAAAGGATCATACCTCAACATAATAAAGGCCACATGTGAAAAACAGCCAACATCATATTCAATGGGCAAAAACTAAAAGTGTTTCCCCTAAGATCAGGAACAAGACAGGGATGTCTGCTCTCACAACTCTTATTCAACATAGTACTGGAAGTTCTAGTCTTAGTGGTCAGGCAAGAAGAAGAAATAAAAGGCATACAAATCAGAAAGGAGGAAGTAAAACTGACATTATTTGCACATGACATGATATTGTATATAGAAAACTACTAGATCTAATAAATGAATTCCACAAAGATGCAGGATACAAAATCAACATCCAGATATTAATGGCATTTTTATACACCGATAATGAACTATCAGAAAGATAAACTAAAAAATCAACCCCATTTACTATTGCAATAATAGGGTACCTGGGAATAAATTTATCCAAGGAGGTAAAAGACCTGTACTGGGAAAATTATTTGATATTGAAGAAATAAATTCAGGAATATCAGTCAGAGAAATATGAATATCACATGATCTCACTTAAAATGGAATCTAATGAAATAATAAATTAACAAACAAAATAGGTCCAGAGGCATGGATGTATGGAACAGACTGACATATCTCAGAGGGGAGGGAGGCAGATGGGAAGAGCTTAACCAAAGAACTTATATACAGATATGACTAACCAATGGACATAGACAATAGCATCTTAAAGCCTGGGGTAGAACAGGGGCTGGGAGGAGGCGGATTAAAGTGGGCAAGGAAATTGGGGGATATCTATAATACTGTCAACAACAACAGATAATAATAAAATATATAGACATGCATTATTCACAATGAAAAAAATTAAAAAATATACAAATAAGTGGAAGGATATCCACGTTCACAAAGTAGAAGAATTAACATCATTCCCAGAGTCATAAAAGCATGAACAGACTGTTGAACCTCAGAGGGAAGTCAGGAGAGAGTGGATGGGAAGAGATCAACCAATTAACTTGTATGTGTATATGCATAATCCATGAACACAGAAATTGGGGTGGTAAGGGCCTGGGCAGGGGAAAATGGAAGTGGACTGGAAGAGGTTAGTGGGGGGAAAAGGAGGACCTATGTAATACTTTCAACAATAAATATTTTAAAAAAGAAATTTTTTAAAAAAGAATTAACCTCAAAATGTCCATACTACCCAAAGCAATCCATAGGTTCAATGTAACTCCTATTAAAATACCAAGGACATATTTCAAAGACATAGAAAAACATTCCAAAAATTTATATGGAACCAAAATAGACCCAAATAGCCTTTGCAATCTTGAGAGAGAAGAACAAAGTTGGAAGTATTACAATACCAAATATCAAACTATACTGCAAGCCATTGTAATGAAAATAGCCGAGTTCTGACATAAGAACAATTATATAAACAGTGAAACAACAGAGAACCCAGAAATCAACCCACATCTTTACAGTCAATAAATATTTGACAGTCTCCTCCCCCTCTCCTCCCCCTCTCCTCCCCCTCTCCTCCCAGTGAAAAATAAATAAATAAATAAATATTTGACAAAGGAGGAAATAGCGTACACTGGAGTAAAGGCAGTGTCTTCAATATGTGGTGCAGGGAAAATCGGACACATACATGGAAAAAAAAGAAAAAAAAGAAAAAGAAACTAGATCACCAACCAACACCATACACAAGAATAAAATGAAAATGGATAAAAGATTTAAATGTAAGTTGTGAAGCCACAAAAATTCTAGAAGAAAACATGACAGCAAAATCTTAGACATCTCTGGCAGCAATATATTTGCTGAAATATCTCAGAGGGCAAGGAAAACTCAGGAAAAGATAAACAATTGGGAGTACATAAAGCTAAAAAGCTTCTGACCAGCAAAGAAACCATCAACAAAACGAAAAGAGAACGCACTATATGGAAGAACATATTCACCAATGCTACATCTGATAAGGGGTTAATTTCCAAAATATATAAAGAACTTACACAACTCAACACCAGGAAGACAATCCAATTTAAAAATATGTGAAGGACCTAAATAGACACTTCTCCAAAGAGGACATACAGATACACAATAGACATATGAAAAAATTATCAAGGTCACTAATCAGAGAGATGCAAATAATTAAAAGGACAATGATGTATCACCTCACACTTGTCAGAATGGTTATCATCAACAAATCAACAAATGACAAGTGCTGGCAAAGATGTAGAGAAAAAGGAATTCTCTTGCACTGCTGGTGGGAATGCAGGCTAGTGCAGTCACTGTGGAATACAGTATGGAGTTTCCTCAAAAAGTTAAAAATGGAATTTCCATTTGACTGAGTGATCCCACTTCTAATAATATATCCAAAGAAACCAGAAACTACAATTAAAAAGTACAAATGCAGCCCTATGTTCATAGCAACAAAATTTACAATAGCTAAGATTTAGAAACAGTGCAAGTGCCCATCAGCAGATGAGTGGATACAAATCTGTGGTACATCTACACAATGGAATATTACACAGCTGTAAAAAAGAAGGAACTCTTACCATTGGCAACAGCATGGATGGACCTGGAAAGTATTATGCTAAGTGAAATAAGCCAGTCAGAGAAAGACAAGTATCACATGATCTCACTCATATGTGGAATCTAATGAACAAAATAAACTGATGAACAAAATAGATCCATAGACATCGAAGCATGGAATACACTGAAGAATTTCAGAGGGAAGATGAGGGTGGGTGGGTAAAGACAGATTAAACAGGGAACTTATATGCATATAGCATAGCCCATGGATACAGACAATAGTGTGGTGAAGGCTTGGAAGGGATGGTTGCTGGGTGGAAGAGTTCAATTGGAAAAAAAAATCAAAGGGGACTTCTATAATTCTTTCAACAATAAAGGTAAATTAAAAAAATAAACAAGATGCACGCATCTTCTGGAGGTGCTTGCAGCCTTGCAGGAGAGGAGACCTGCTTATATCAGTTAATACACAGTAGAATGCCTGTCATCTACTGAGAGAATTAAGAGAAGGGAAGTTTTACATATAGGTGGAGAAATCCAAGGACTTCAGGGAAGTTGCATTTTGAACAATGCTTTGAAGAATACTTTAGCCCAGTCGTAGTGGCTCAGTGGTTGAGCTTCAGCCTATGAACCAGAAGGTCATGGTTCAATTCCCAGTCAGGGCACATGCCCAGGTTGAGGGCTTGATCCCTGGTGTGGGGCATGCAGGAGGCAGCCGATCAATGATTCTCTCTCATCATTGATGTTTCTATCTCTCTCTCCCTCTCCTTTCCTCCCTGAAATCAATAAAAATATATTTTAAAAAAGAATACTTTAGACTTAAAAAAATGACTAGTGGGAGATTCTTAAAAAAATGACTAGTGGGAGATTTAGAGTGAGGACGTTACAGTAAAAGAAAGTGGCAGGCATGGTAATTAGTAATTGTGCTTCCATATCAATGAAGTTATGGTAATTAACATTTAACTTATTCATACACACACACACACACACACATATATATATATATGTGTGTGTGTGTGTGTGTGTGTGTGTAACATGGCATACTTGCCAAATTTAATATAAATTTTATTTTTCTCTTATTTCCTGGTACATGATATTTCAGAATAAAGTTTTATGTTAAAAAATTAACTTAGAGTCTATTATTGATGGTCTACACATACATTATAATTTTAACTACCTATGACCATTCAGTATATTAATTTATGTCCTTTTATTCAGTTTTGTGTGTGTGTTTCTGTATACTGATTTAAAGTAGAAATGACTAAAGAAACAGGAATAAAAAATTATTTTAAATGGGTCTTTGTTGTTCATTCACACAATTTTCATGGTATTAACACAAAGGATTATAGGAATATTATTATCTACACTAATAAAAGAGAAACATGGTAATTAGCATACGACCGCTACCCTTCCCATTGGCTAATCAGCATATCCTTATGCAAATTAACTGTCAGCCAAGATGGCGGCCGGCAGCCAGGCAGCTGGAAGCGAACATGAGGCTTGCCTGCTCCAGTGACTGCAGACTCCAACGTTCCCCACCTGACTTGCCGGCCTCTGAGTTGCAACTCTAAGCAACTATGTACTATGTTGCAAATAAGAAGCTAAACAAAACCCTAGAAACCAGCTTTCAGCCTGCCGGGATCTCAGAGCTGAAGTTATACATTGTTTCGATTATAGAA